GGACTACTAGAGTTCTTCCAAGCTTTTCTTTAATGAAGTTTATAATCCTTTATTTTAGTCCTAGGTCCATGATCCACGTTGAGTTGGTTCTTGTATGTGGAGTGAGGTGTGGATCTTGCTTGAGTCTTCTGCAGATATTTTTCCAATTTTGCCAACACCATTTGTTTAAAAGGCTGTCATTCCTCCACTTAACTGATTTCATCTCCTTGTCAAAAATCAGTTGACCGTAGGTAGATTGGCTGATTTCCAGGTTCTCAATTCTATTCCATTGATTATGTGTCTGTCATTGTACCAATACCATGCTGTCTTAATCACCATGGCAGTGTAGTAGGATTTGAAATCAGGCAGTGAGATGCCTCCTACCTTTTTTCTATTTTTAAGGAGGGCTTTGTTTATTTGGGGATTCTTTCCATTCCAAATGAAACTATAGATTGTCTTTTCCATTTCATTGATAAATGGGATTGGTATTTGTATAGGATTGCATTGAACGTGTAAATTGACTTTGGCAGTATTGCCATTTTCACAATATTGAGTCTTCCTATCCATGAGCAAGGGATATTCTTCCACTTCTCCAGATCTCTTTTTGTTTCTTATAGTAATGTTTTGTAATTTTCTTTGTAAAGCTCCTTTGTGCTTCTGGTTATATTTACTCTCAAGTATTTAATCTTGTGATTCACTATTGTGAAGGGTATTGTTTTTCTTAGCTCAGGCTCTGTCTTCTCTTTGTCACTGTAGAAAAACCCAACTGATTTTTGTATATTGATCTTGTATCCTGCTACTTTGCTGAACTGGTCAACTATGTCCAACAGTCTTCTTGCTGAGTCTTTAGGGTTTTCTAGGTATACTATCATATTATCTGCATAGAGAGATAATTTTACCTCCTCTTTGCCAATTTGGATACCTCTTATATCCTTTTCTTGTCTTACTGCTATTGCTAAGACTTCCAATACAATATTGAATAAGCGAAGTGAGAGTGGGTATCCTTGCCCAGTTCCTGTTCTTAAAGGGAATGCCTTTAACTTCTCTCCATTGAGAACAATGTTGACTCTAGGGTTTTCATTAATACTTTTTACTATATTGAAAAAATTCCCCTAAAATCCTATTTTGTTGAGTGTTTTAATCAGGAAAGAGTGTTGGATTTTGTCAAAGGCCTTTTCGGCATCAATTAATAGGATCCTATGGGGTTTTCTTCTTTGCTTTGTTAATGTGATGAATTACATTGATTGTTTTCCTTATGTTTAACCATCCTTGCATACCTGTTATGAATCCCACTTGTATCGTTGAATTCTATTGCCCAGTATTTTATTCAGGATTTTTGCATCTATGTTCATAAGATATACTGGCCTATAGTTTTCTATTTTGGGTGTGTCCTTTCCTGACCTTGGTATCAAGGATATGTTTGCTTCATAGAATAAATCTGGGAGAATTCTATCTTTCTCTATTTCCTAAAAAGGTTTATGTAGAATTGGTTGCAGTTCTTCTCTGAATGTTTGATAAAATTCACTTGTAAAACCATCTGGCTTTTTTGGGTTGGAAATTGTTTTATTACCTTTTCAATTTCTTCTTTTGTAATGGGTCTGTTCAGATGTTCAATTTCAGTTTGTGTTAGTTTAGGTAAGTTGTGCATTTCTAAGTATTTGTCCATTTCCTCTAGGTTTTCATATTTGTTTGAGTATAATTTTTCATAATACTCTAATGTTAGCCTTTTTATTTTAGTTGGTTCTGTTTTGATGTTGCCTGATTCATCTCTTATTCACATTATTTGTGTCTTCTCTTTCTTTACTTTTGTGAGTTTTGCTATTGGTGTGTCAAATTCATTGACCTTTTCAAAAAACCAATCCTAGTTTTGTTGATAGTTTCAATTGTTTTTCAGTTTTCTATTTCATTTATTTCGGCTCTAATTTTTATCATTTCAGGTTTTTTTTAGAAGGTGTTGGGTTTTCTTGCTGTTCTTTTTCAATTTGTTGGAGATGTTGGGTTAGAGAGTCAATGGTCCATTTTTCCTGCTTTTTGATGTGTTTCCTTATTGCTATCAATCTACCTCTGATTACTGCTTTGGCTGTTTCCCAAAGATTTTGGTAAGTGGTGTTTTCATTGTCATTTGTTTCAGGAAACTTTTTAATTTCCTTTTTTATTTTTTCTTTTACCCAGTCATGTTCAAGCAAGGAGTTTTTCAGCTTCCAAATGTAGGTTTTTCTCCTTTATCTTCTTGTTATTAATTTCTAATTTTGTAGCAGTATGGTCTGAAAAGATGCTTTGTTTTGCTTCTGTGTTTTTAAATTTACTGATGCTTGCCTTGTGACCTAGAATGTGATCTATTCTGGACAACGATCCATGCACACTGGAGAAGAAGGTGTACTGTGCTTTTTGGGGGTGCATTAGCCTATAAATATCTATGAGGTCAAGTTGGTTTATTGTGTGGTTTAATTCTTCAGTATCTTTGTTGAGCAAGGATTCTGGGGCTTCACCTGACATACTTTGGACATGTTGTAAGGAGAGACAGGTCTTTAGAGAGGGACATCATGCTGGGTAGAGTGGAGGGAAAGCGCAGGAGGGGAAGACCCTCTATGAGGTGGATTGATTCAGTGACTGGGGTAATCGGGATGGGTGTGTCAGAGGCAGTGAGATTGGCACAGGATAGAGCACGGTTTAGGGCTGTTGTACATAGGGTCGCTATGAGACGCAAATGACTCGACAGCACATAACAACATCTTTGTTGAGCTTCTTTCTGGTAGTTCTATCTTTTCTTGAAAGGGGTGTACTGAAGTCTCCAAGTACTATAGTAGGGTTGTCTATTTCCTTCTTCAGTTTTGTTAATGTTTGTTTTATGTATTTTGCAGGTCTTTCATTTGGTGCATAGATATTTATTATTATGTCCTCTTGTTCTAATGACCCTTCCAGCATTATGTAGTGACCTTCCTTGTCCTTTGTGACGGTTTTTATATTGACATTTAATTTATCAGAGATTAACATTGCTACTCCTGCTTTTCTCTGGTTGCCTTTTGCTTGGTATATTTTCCCCCACCCTTTTATTTTCAGTCTTTTTCTTCATTTTTCAGGTTTGTCTCTTGTAGACAACATATTGATGGATTTTGGTTTTTTATCCAGTTTCTTACTCTTTTTCTCTTCAGCGGTGCATTTAAACAATTCACATTCAGTGTGATTACTGAGAGGCAAGGTTGTATTGCTAACATTGTGTTGAGTTGGTTTTTGGTGTTGTTGATAGTTTCTTTGGTCCATGCTGCTTTCTGTGGTACCTCTGTAAGAAGGACATCTCTGAGTCTTTCCTGCAATGCTGGTCTTGTTCTTATAAACTCTCTTAGGTTCTGCTTTTCTAGGAATATCTTGATCTCTCCTTCATATTTGATGGGTAATTTTGCTGGGTACAGTATTCTTGGTTGACAGTTGTGTTCTTTGAGTGTTTGATATATGTCCTTCCACTCTCTTCTTGGTTGCATGGTTTCTGCTGAGAAATCGGCACTTAGTCGTCTCTGCTCTCCCTGATAGGGTACTCTTTGTTTCTCCCTTGCTGCTTTCAGGATTCTCTCCTTATCTTTGATTCTGGCTAATTTAACGATAATATACCTTGATGTTTTTCTTTTGGTGTATATTCTACATGGTGTACAAGCTGAACTTCTTGAATATATGTTCTCTCATTCTTCATTATGCCTGGGAAGTTTTCCTCTAGTAATTCTTCCACATCTTTTTCACTGCCTTTACTTGCTTCTTCCTGTTCTGGGATTCCAATGATGCACATATCATTTCTCTTGATGGTGTCCCACATTATTCTTAGGTTTTCTTCTTTTTCCTTCCTTTTTAAATCTGCTTTTGTCCTAGCAGATCAGTGGTGAAAATATGTCTTCAATTTCACTGGTTCTGTGTTCCAGCTCTTCAACTCTGCTCATGTGTCCCTCCATCATGTTGACAGCATCTGAAACATTGGACCTCATATTTTGGATACTGGTTTCTTGTTTTTCCAGAGCCGTTAATGTCTCATTTGTTTTCTCTACATTGTTCTGGACTGTTTTTTGAGCTCCTCTTGATTTTTCCTTGTTGTATCCTGTAATTCTTCAAGTGTGTCTTTCATCTACTGAAAATATTCAATCATTGTTCTTTTAAATTCTGTGTCAGAAAGTTCCATCAGACTTTCTGGCTTCAGGAAATCCACTGATACTTGTGTCACCCTTGGGGGGCTGACATCTTGCTTTGTCCTTGTGTAGTGTGTGGGATAGCTTGCTTTCTTCGAGACATTAATATGTTCTTGATCTGAAGACAATGCTCTAGAGATCAGTTGGGTAGCTACCCCACTTGTGTTTTTCTCTGAACTTCTGACTCCAGGGAAATGTCAGTTCAGAGCCTGTAAGAGCAGCCTCTTGTTGGTAAGACAGGTCATGGTGCTCCGGATTAAAGTCAAGTTGATGTGTAGGCACAGGTGTGGAGCCAAATGAAGTGGGGCAGGAACAGGGGTGAGGTGATCACAAGGGCAGGTCAACCACTTGGGGGACCTCACTCAGACCTCAACTGTCTGGAGATGCTTACAATTGTGGTCCCTTCTCAAATTCCAGCTTTCCATCTCCCACCCAGTGGTTTTCATTTAGTGGTCCCTGCCCAGTGGCACTTACACAGGTGCCCTAATACAGTGGGCCCTGCAATGGGACCCGAAAAGTCAAAATCAAATTTCTACCAACCTCTGGCTGGTCTGCAGTGTTCACAAAAGTTCCAAGAAATTACCAATGGCCAGCTCGTTCCTGGGAAGTCATGGTCCAAGAGAGCTAAGCCAAATTCTGATCAGTGAGCTCACCTTTGGGTGCTCTCTCAGGCAATCGGCAGTGCCCAAATAACCCAGTCAGAATCCTACTGGCCAGATCAGTCCCACAGCAGCTCAACTTGTGGCTCTGGGTTGTGGCTGGATCCATGGTGTGGCTTTGTGTTCCTGTAGCACCGAAACAAATTGTTCCAACAAAAGTTCTGATTCAAAATCCTACTGTCCAAGGCTCGCCATGTTGGTCAGTCTCTGTGTGGCAAGATGACTCTGTAGTGGCCCTGGGGCACCGCCAGGGGAGCAGGGTTGTGGTGGGGTTAGGGGCTCGGGGGCACGGGGCTGGGGCACCACCACCAGGGGATGATGAGGTGGGTCTTGGGTGCCGCTGAAGGTTCAGTGCTGCCAGACTGTTCACAGATGTTAAGCTGCCAAGTCATCCATCCTCAGCACATCAGACTGCCTGAGTTGTTCTCCACCTGTGTCACACTGCTCTATGCTGTGTAGCAATACTCTCTGTCTGCATCCTCTAGCTGTTGATTTTTCTGAAGTGTCTCATTATTCAGGACAGGTGGTCCATCAGGGCTGCCGGTCCATCAAGGCTACCAGTCTGTCAGGGTTGCTGGTCCCACAGGGCTGCCAGTCTGTCAGGGCTGCTGGTCTGTCAGGGCTTGGAAGTCCAGTTTTGCCAGCACCATTTGTTGAAGAGGCTATCATTTCCCCATTTGATAGCTTTGATTTCCTTGTTGAATATCAGTTGACCATTGGTAGCTGGGTCTATTTCTGGGTTCTCAATTCTGTTCCACTGGTCGATTTGCCTGTCATTGTACCATGCTGTTTTGGTTACTACTGCTGTGTAGTAGGTTTTGAGGTCAGGGAGTGTTATGCCTCCAACTTCATTTTTGTTTCTCCCTCCATCTTCTTTTGATGCTTCCTGACGTATTCATTATTCTGCCCATAGTGCCTTTAAGTACAACAACTAGAGACTTGAATTGTTCTTCAGTTCCTTTAACTTAAATGCTGAGCGAATGTGTTCCTCCTGATTTTCTGACTCCAGCTCTTTGCACATTTCATTATAATACTTTGCTTTGTTTTTCCAAGCTGCCTTTAAAATTCACTACTAGGATCAACTGCCCAAGGAAAATAGAACTGAGACACAAATTGAAATGTGTACATCAATGCTCATAGCAATGTTATTCACAATAGCAACAACATGGAAACAGCCCAAATATCCATCAACAAACGAACAGATTGAGAAATGATGATACATTCATTCACATGATGGAATAGTATGAAGTACTCAGAAGCAATGATTTAAAAAAATACTGTACAGCCCGTGAAATGCCAGAAAACATTATGCTGAGTGAACTAATTCAGTCTTGTAAGGACAAATACTGCATAAGACAATTATTGTAAAACTAGAATAATAACTAAATAAGATGTATATAAATGTCCAAACAGAGAAGGATAAGAGGTAGAAAGGCTGGGAGTGGGGGAGGGTGTTATAACTGCTGTAAACCTTTCTTTAGTTTTTAAAATAGGCCTCTTCCCCGGGCCTTAGTTTCTTCATTTGTAAAGTGGAATTTGATGACATAGAATTCAGAATGTCCTGGGGGAGATCTGATGACAAAGTTGTTCTGCTTACCCACAGGCAGTGCCTCTCTGGTGGTTCAAATCCACTGGTGGCTCTGTGGGAGAAAGGTGATCAGTCCCCTCTTGTGAAATTTACAGCCTTGTAAGCCTTGTAAGCCTCTTGTAAGCCGGGTCATCTATTAATTGGTTTCGACTTAAAAGCAATGAGTAAGAAAGAGATTTACTCTTTGGTGCTGAAATTTCTCAATTACATCACTGTCTCTTTAACTCAAAACAACTATTTCAATACACATGACCATAAGTAAGCCCCCACCAGAAACTAAGAGTAGTTTGGGCTCCTGACCTTCTTAGAGATGACTGACTCTCCCAAAGGAAATCCAATGTATTCTGTAGGCCCTCCATGCTGAAGGCATGGGCAAGGAATGGAGGGTCCCAGATCTTATCCTCAAATCCCTTCAAATAGCTAGAGGTCTGGCAGGGAGGTTACACTCAACTGCTCTATGTCTATGCCTGTCCTTCCCTAAGAAGATGTGAACATGCTAGGATTAGGGTATCCTGACCCAATACTGAATAGAACAGGGGACCCAGTCATGTGGTGACTGGGAAGTTTCTACCTGAGCCTCCAGCTCTTCTCTGGGTAGAGGTGACAAGGCCTCCTCCACAGTACAAGGGTTGGACAAGTGGAAAGAGGGCAACCATTCCTACTTGGTGACTAATAGCTACGCCTTTCCACCCACAGATCCTGCACATGAAGGATGACCAGAACTGGCATAAGGCTGAGCTTCGGGTGTGCTGAAGGTTTTATTCCCAAGAACTACATCCGTGTCAAACCTCATCCGTAAGTGTCCCCAGCTCTGAAGGCTGGGCTGAGCTGCAACGAGGTTCTGGCATTGCTGTATACCTCTGGTGCATGAACGCCCCCATCCTTCTACTCCTCCAGTCATGCTTCTGCGCATAAAGAAGCCACTTTACCTAGCAATACCCTGACCACTAGGAGAATGTCCAGGAGGGCGTTGGAAAAGAGTAAGATCCAAGCTCTGAGCTGGCACCTGTATGGCTTAAGGAAAGACGCTACTTGAGCTGTTCCTCAGTTTTCCTACCTATGATGAAGGACAGCTGCAGATCCAATCTGTGCAAACGGTGGAAGATTCCATTGCACCTCCTTTGGCAGGTGGGGAAGAAGGCAGTGAAGATAGGGTTGGAAATGAGCAGAATGTAGACCCTATGACTCCTGCTTTTGAGATGGAAGGGGAAACTGGACATCAGAAAGAAAAGTGTGAGGCCACTCTTTTAGAATACAAAGTGAGTCTAGGGCCAAGAATTCCACAGCATGGGACCCGCTGACTAGATCCCAGGACCAGATTCTTGGCTGGTGGAATCCAACACTTTGAGTAGGACAAATTCAGTCCCAGAAAAGCCTACCTAGGCAAGAAATCTACTAAAAAGAAACTGGTTATGCTTAAAGTATGGCTCAGACAGCTTCCAAACATAGATGCTTACTCAACCATTCTCTAGATGTTAACCGGACACAGAAAGAAAGCCAGGACACAAGGAAATGAATTCTGAAAAAGAGAAAGGTGAGGCAGAGGTCCTCTTACAGCTTAGAGCTATGAAAAGGCCCCTTTCTTAATCTCCCTATGGTTGTTATTTAGTTTAAGCCAATAATAACAGATTCCCATCTCAGGAGGCTATATTTTCCTTATACTTAAGTTTTGCCAACATAACAATGGGTAAGCTTAATCTTTAAACTAGGACCAAAGTTCAGACACAGCATCCCTTCTGGTGGGAGGCTGGAAGGAAACTTCTGTTTGCAGAAGGCATCCAGTATCTTCCTGTGGGATGGGAGGAATTGTCTGTTTGCAGAGGACATTCAGTCCTTCCTGAACTCTGATTTCAGCTGTGACCCGGCTATCACTATGCTAGGCAATCCACATCTAGACACTGCCTGTAGACTCTCTGAGCTAGAGCCACACCAGGGTCAGAGTATCCCTATTCTGATGGAGAGATTAGACATAAAGAATATGGAATATTGAGATGATTAGTGTTCAGGTGAATAACAAGGAAAAAGTTCTCAGGAGAGGTGTTAAGGAGTGAAATTTTTTTTAATTGAGATTTTAATGAAAGTTTATAGAAACTTGGATTTCCATTCATTCATTGTTGCTTATTTTCCTCCCTGCCCCTGCCCCACCAATTCACTTTTCTCATTGAGAAAAAAATTATTTCATTGTTGTACAATTTCCCACCCCCACTCCAGTCCACTTTATTATACAGTTCTTATTCTGGACTGTTGTCATGCAAATAATACTTAACCATATATTCCTTTTAAGCGGTTCTTTCCTTCATCTGTTTCAATGCAGTGTACATTATTTATCTCCTCTATTTTTAGTTCCTCTCCAACCCCCATGTCAGGCCTGTTTTACAACAATGGCATTTGTCATTTTGTGACTGAGATACTTCACTCAGCATAATGTCCTCCAGAGTTACCCATTTTGTATAGTATTTCATTAGTTCCTTCTTTTTCAGTGCTGCGTAGTATTCCATTGTGTGAATATATCACAACTTCTCTATGCACTTGTTTGTTGATGAGCACTTGGGTTGTTTCCCTCTCTTTGTTATTGTAACAAAGCAGCAGTTAACATTGGTGTGCATATATCTGTTTGGATGGAAGTTCTGGTTTCTTTAGGGTATATTCCCAGTAGTGGAATTGCTGGATCAAATGGTATTTCTATTTCCCATTTTTTTAAGAAAACACCATACTGCTTTCCATAGTGGTGGTACCATTTTACACTCCCACTAAAAGTGAATAAGGGTTCCAGTTTCTCCACAACTTCACCCTCATTTATTGTTTGCTGCTCTGTTGAATTTTGTTATTCTTACTGGGGTGAGATGATAGCTCATAGTTTTATTGATTTGAACCTCTCTTTGAGCTAGGGATTTTGAACATTTCTTAATGTGTCTGTATTTCTCTACAGTGATAAAGAGAATACAGAATGAAAGTTAAGAAAAACAATACACATCACAAGAGCTAATCACAAGATTAAATACTTGGGAGTAAATCTAACTAGAAACACAAAGGACCTATTCAAAGAAAATTACAAAACATTACTACAAGAAACAAAGAGAGACCTGGAGTAATGGAAGAATATACCTTGCCCTTGGATAAGAAGACTTAATATTGTGAAAATGACAATTCTACTAAATGCAATCTACAAATTCAATGTAATCCCAATACAAATACCAATACTGTTCTTCAATGAGATGGGAAAGGCAATTTTCAATTTCATTTGGAATAGAAAGAGACTCCCAACAAGCAAAGCACTGCTTATAAAGAGAAACAAGTAGAATGGGTGCTAAATTCTCTCTGAATGTTTGGTAGAATTCAGCTGTGAAGCCATTTGGTCCAGGGCTTTTCTTATGGGGTAGTCTTTTTATGACCTTTTCAATTTATTCTCTTGTGATGGGTCTATTCAAGTGATCTATATCTGCTGCCCTTGTCAGTCTGTGCAAGGGATACATTTAAAGGAATTTGTTTATTTTCTCTAGGATTTTCTTCTAATTTATCAGAGAATAGCTTTTCATGGTATTCTTTTTTTAATTTTATTTTATTAATTTTAATGAATATTTACAGAGATTTTGGATTTCCATACATCCATTTTTGTATTTTTCTCCCTGCAAACCTCTCCCCACCCCCAAACCCCAGTTTGCTCTTCTCTTTGAAAAGTAAAAGAAAAATTCTTTCATTGGTATACAATCCCCCTTCCCCCATATACTCCATTATGCAACCTTCATTCTGTACTCTTGTCATAACCATAATACCTAATCATATATCGCTTTTAAACTGTTCTTGCCCCCCTCCCATTATTGATTTAATTACCTCTGGTTCTGTTGTGATGTCACCTCTGTCATTTCTTAATTGAGTTATCTGTGAATTAAATTAAATTATCTGTTAAATTATTTCAAAAAATTAAAAAAGGAACACTTTCAGAATCATTCTAGGAAGCAAGCATTACCCTTATATTCAAACCAGGCAAAGATACTACCAAGAAAGAAAACTACAGACCAATATCTCTGATGAACATAAATGCAAAAATTCTTTAAAAAATCCTAGCCAATAGAATCCAAAAGCACATAAAAAAAAATAATTCACCATGACCAAGCAGGATTCATAACAAGTATGCAGGGATGTTTCAACGTAAGAAAAACAATCAGTGTAATTCACTACATTAACAAAGTAAATGACAAGAACCATATAATCTTAGCAATTGATGCAGAAAAGGCATTTGACAAAATCCAACAACACTTCCTGATAAAGACACTCAGCAAAACTGGAATAGAAGGGAATTTCCTCAACATAGAGAAAAGTATATATGCAAAACCAAGAGGCAACATCATTGTCAATGGAGGAAGACTAAAAACCTTTTCCTTGCTAACAGGGACCAGACAAGGATGCCCACTGTCACCACTTCTTTACAATAGTGTATTGGAAGTGCTTGCTAGGGCAATACGACAAGAGAAGGAAATAAAAGACATCCAGATTGGCAAAGAAATGGTTAAACTGTCACTATATACAGATGCTATTATAATGTACACAGAAAACCCCAATGCCAAAAGAACAAAAAAAACCTTTTAATAGGACAATTTAGTACAGTGGCAGGATATAAAATCAATATCCAAAAATCAATAAGATTCCTCTACAGTAACAGACAACTCAGAGACAGAAATAAAGAAAGCAATACCATTTACAATAGCCAACCACAAATTGAGGTACTTGAGAGTGAATATAACTAGAGATACAAGAGACCTATACAAAGAAAACTATAGAGCATTTCTGAAAGACACAATAAAAGACCTTAAGAAATGGAAAAATATGCCCTGTTCATGGATAGGAAGACTCAATATGACGAAAATGACAATCCTACCAAAAGCAATCTACGTGTTCAATGCAATTCCAATCCAGATACCAAGTTTATTTTCCAAGGAAATTGAAAGAGAAATTATAAAATTTATTTGGAAAGACAAGAGACTCCAAATAAGCAAAACACTTTTGAGAAACAAAAGTGAAAGGTTGGAGGCATAGTACTCCCTGACCTCAAAAGCTACTACACAGCAGAGTTAACCAAAATAGCATGGTACTGGTACAATGACAGGCACATTGACCAATGGAACAGAATTGAGAACCCAGAAATAGACCCAACTATCTACAGTCAACTGATATTCAACAAAGAAATCAAAGCTATCAATTGGGGAAATGCTAACCTTTTCAACAAATGGTGCTGGCAAAACTGGACTTCCACCTGCAGAAAGCTGAAACAGGATCCACATTTCCCACCATACAAAAAAAAAATTAACTCAAAATAGATCAGATACCTCGGAGTAAAGCCCCAAACCATCATGTCCTTAAGAGACAAACTGGGATCAAGCTTAGAAGAGCTAGTCCAAGGTATAAAGAGACTGCCAAATCTGAAGAGGATAAAATTTATGCATGGGACCTTCTAAAGATGAAATCTCTATGCACATCAAAAACTTTTCCCAATAGGGTGATAAGACAACCTACAGACTGGGAACAAACATTTGGTAATTCCATCTTGCACAAGAGTCTTATAACCAAAGGTTACAAAATACTCCTGGGCCTCCATAAGAAAAAGACTGATGACCCAATTACAAAATGGGCAAAAGACATGGAAAGAATTTTCAGAGGATGATATTCAAATGGCAATCAGACACATGAAGAAATGTTCAAAATCACTGGAAATAAGAGAGATGCAAATCAAAATCACAATGAGGTACCATCCTACTCCAGTAAGAGTGGCAAAGTTTAACAGGGCAGCAAGTAATAGA